TGGTAGGTTATAGTAATGTGTATATTTTTTACTTTACTAAATTTCATTATAACTCATCTAAAATACCATATTGAATTGTAAAACAGATTTTTCTTTATTGTAATCTATTTTGTTTTTATTTCAGTAAAACTGCTTGGAAATAAGTGACAGTGAATCAGAATACGCAAACCTACTACTATTTACGTATTCACATTATTTCCTCTGCAGACAATTTTTAAATTTCAACGGATTTTCATACAAAAAGAGTGATTATATTATTGGTATATCTATGAAAACAAAAATAAATATTTCGCCTGAATCCCCAAGAAAAGTAAAGGCTTTACGCTACTGAAAATATATTTTTTATTCAATTATAACCAAAACAAAACATTTAAAAAAATCGATCATTTTGTCCCATAATTTCAAAATTAATATGTACATTAAGCTGTAATAATGGGTTCGAGCGGTCTTGACTACGTCACACTCCTGGGCCAGCTGTCAAATTTCATTCGCAATTTCATACCTTGCATTGATTGTACCATGGGTATCGATCGCCAGGTAAAATAAATGCATTTAATTTTAAATTCGAGCGTTCACTGTCAGTGCTATGCTCTATGCGAGGATACGATACGATGGTCTCTGTAATGGACGCACCCGTATTCATTTTGATTTGCCCTCTCTTATAATTTTTGCAATTATATCGTAAATCGTTTCTTATTTTAAGTATGTTTTAGAAAAATATATAATTTTTCTCTTAGAGCTGATATTGTAAAGTGCACAAACATTTATTAAACAACACAAAACAATGTTGACAATTGTGACTTCATTGCAACGTCAGACGATTCGTCGAAAATGAATGCGACAAAGTTTATTATTATATACAGGGTGGGCCTTAAGTAATTGTACAAAAAGAAATCATAGAGTTTGCACTTTAAAATATTACGATTTAAGCCAACTTGCTTTAATAAAATGTTGATATTAAGAAAGATACAGGGTGTTTAAACATACATTTTAGATTTTATTTTTTGCTATAACTTTTACGTTTGGACAAAAATTTACAATTGGATGCTTTTATGTAGGATAAATTATAATTTTATACATACTAATGAAACTAAACAGGGTGCCACATATGCCACATGTGTGGCATAAATTTGCGCTTAACTTTTTTGCTCTTTAAGTGAAGCTGTATTTGTGACAAAAAATATTAAAGATACATTAGTTTAATAAAAAAAAAAGGTATACTTGTTAGTAACTTAAAAACTCAACAGTTTTCGAGATAATCACATTTTAAAAGTCAGCAGCATAATAATTTTTAGTAGTTATATTTGTGGAATAAAGCACTGAATACCTGTGGATAAGCATAATTAATAGTTTATTCTTATTAAAACAACTCAAAGATGATAATGTAACTTTACAAAATGCTTTGTTATGGCTACTAAATGTCTTATTGGATCAAATCTATCTCCTCAAGAACTTCCCGTTTACTGTCAAACAACTGCAGTGATAGAATTGAGTTCTCCATTCAACAATATAAAGTAGTTTCAACCATGTTCTACCATCCATCTATTAATAGAGTACCGGCATGTAAGTAATGTTTATTTTATTTATTTATTTGCTCATTTATTAATTTATTACAATCGAAGAGACTATTTTATAACAAATTGTGGGCCTTACCTTGTCTGTTTAACTTTTTAAAAAAATTTTATACCTTTTTATTCAACTTACTCTTTTAAATAAAACCACAGACATGTAATATTGGCATAATTATTGTCATTTACAACACCTACTTTGTTTATCGTTATTAGACAACACCCTAATATGGGTTTTTTATTATTTCAGCATTTGTTTAACTTTGTATCGAGACCTGAGGATGCTTTGCATATTGTAGAAAGCGAAACCGGTCGTCTGATAGTTAAATTAAATTGATTGTGAGTAAGTCTTATTTATTATTTCTTTACCTATATTTATTTTAATTAACATTTCGTTAACTATTAACTTTAGTTAAAGGTATTTTACACCAAAATTCCGAAGTATTGATGTTTTTGTCTAGTTTTCCTTCATTGTAATAAAAATAAAATAATGTATCTTTAATATTTTTTGTCACAAACACAGGTAATCAGCCCTCTATCATCTACATCAAAGTGTGCATTAATTTATAATTTCGCATATTTAAAAGTATCCAGTTGTAAATTTTTATAAAAAAATGTTTGCAAACATAAAAGGTGTAGCGAAAAATAAAATTTTAAATTTGTACTTTAACACCCTCTATTTTTCTTAATATTAACATTTTATTAAAGTAATTTGTCTTAAATCGTAATATTTTAAAGTATAAAATATACTGTTTCTTTTTGTACAATTACTTAAGGACCACTCTGTTTATAAGTATATAACTTCACCGACTAAAAAAATTTAATCATCTTATATATAAGATGAAAAAACCACGAAGAATTGAAGAATTATCTAAATCGTCTTAGCTGGCTTAAATATCTGGCTACTTCATCTGGCTGTCTTAAAGTTGTATTTTGATATCGGAATTTCTATTAATCTATGTAACATACTATGATAGGCTGCTTTGTGTTGTGTAGGATGGGATGATGAATTGTGTATAGTCGTGTCAGTATTGGTAGGTTTATGAAATACGCAAAACTCATGTTTATTTTTAAGTCAGATGATTTTTAACTCTAAAAAATTATTGGATTGATTTTGTTGTTTCTATTGTAAATTCAATATGACCATGGAGTGAACTAATATACGATAAAAATCGTTTAGGCTGATGCAGAACTAGATAAAAGAACTAAATTAACTAAAAGACCGGAACAAAATTAAGCTTGTCTGGGTACCAGGACATTAAGGCATTGAAAGCAACAAGAAAACAGATCGACTTGCAAAGAGAAGATCGAACAAATCCAATGGGGATACTAGATCTTTGGGAATACCAAAGGCTGCAGTTCGTAGAGCTGTAGAGAACTGGATTAAACAGAGTCAAGAAATTATTCATTGATGGTCTATGAGGAAAAATAATAGAGGAACTGCTTCATACGGGCATAATCAAACTAACAAAAGTAACAGGAATGCACCAATAAGACAATTCCTGAATAAATTGGGCATTTACAATGAAGACCTTAACTGCTGACTCTGTTATAGGGAACTAGAAACTGTAAAACATGTATTATGTTACTACAGGGACCGCTGGATAGTAAAAGACACAAACTGTATGGGCAACTAAAAGAAGACCTTTCTATATTTTGAACACCAAGTTAAAGAGCTGTACAAAGTTCAACAGGGTGAAAAAAAGTTGTCTGTTGACCTGTGGTTGACAGGGTAACTTGTTGATGGCTCCTGATGGTGGTTGGATGGATTGTCACTAAATGAGCAAATATTAAGTTGATGGAACGTGTTGTACTTTAGTGGGATGGATGTGGTTAACCCATCGTGTTATTTAATAAGTTGTTCCATAAACTATAATATAACACAGGGTGTATTAGCGAGACATCAAAGGGGTTAACTTTCTTGCCAATTATTTTATAAAATCACAATTTAACAAAAAGCAGATGGAAAGGATAAAGTGAAATAGAATTATTATTAAAATTAGGTTTGTAAGATTCCTACATGCATAAAATGAAAGACGGGGCTTCGGAAGAAGTGAGATTATGAATATTGAAAATATTGTGAGAATTATAAAATATAGGTTACAGTGAAAGTAATCAGAAAGAGATTTCTGCAGACCATAAAATTAACCTTTTTTCATAATTTCTTCTTTTATAAATTTCAACTACACACAAAAAAATATCCCACTACGTTAGACAAGCTGATTGACTGAAACAGTGAGGGGTGACTACAATGAAGTATAGCACAGATGCCATAGAACATATGTCTATGATGGAATTAGCTTTTCTGTCAACGTAGAATAGAATATTTAGTCTATTGGACAGAAAGAGAGAGCGCGCCAACTATTTTTTGAGGAAAAAATAGTAAAAAAGAAACTGAAGGTTAAGGAATTAATAAATTAATAAAGAAATTAAAATAAAATAATTATTTAAATATAAATTAATTAAGATGTGACTTCCATATCGTTACATTGTCTCTAGATGATCCATAAAAATGTCTAATAGCAATGGGCTTAGAGAATTATCTCTAAGATAAGTCCTGCACTGTTATTTATATATATTTAATTATTAAATTCAAAGTAGTCCTGGTTTATGCAAATTATTGATTATTTAATTATACTCAGGATTATACATGAAAAATTAGTAACTTTTATTCAAGAAATTTTTTCAAATGTTGATAGATTGGGCTATTATCGGAATAAGCGATTTATTATCATACTCTACAAAATAAAAAAACAAAAAACACGTGTTTAATTTAAAATATATCTAATAACACCTGATTCGACTTCTACCCACACTTCCTCGGGGTGAAGTCTTGGTGGGGTGCGTCTTTAAAATATTAAAAGGAAAGCCTCATTTTTTTATTGCAGATTCGAAATTTACGTGAAAAAGGAACAACCAGTGATTCGCAGTGTATTTCTCGAGCTTACACGATTTTCGCAGTCTGCGATAAAATCTTCAATAAAAAATGGTGTTCCTATTTAAGATTTCAACGTTGTCCCCAGCTCCCTCTTGAATATAGATGGGAGGTCATGTTTGATGTTATTCGATAGACTTTTGAGAAATATTAAACACCCATTTTTCAGTTTTTTATCCGATGTAAATTTCGCGCGAAGTATTCGATTGTCCCGCTTCTTTTGGCACGCCCTGTATATTAACGGCAGTGATTTTGGTTTCCAGGAGGAAATCCTTTTTAAAATTTAAATAAAACAAATTATTTTGTTTTGTTAATTTTACTTGGAATTATCAAATATTTGCAAGTAAAAAAACAAAAGAATGTATTTATTTAAATATTTCCATTTAGATAACGAGTTCCGATGAGGAAATCGAAACGTGAAATAATATATTTTTAATTATCATTGTGATTTCTTTTCCTGGCACAGTGTAGTCATATTGCTTTGCTGATAAACATACGGCAAGTAATTATTATTTGTTTTCTTCTTCACATACAACTGGGCTATAACGTAGAAGTCAAAATCGTGGATATCTTTATCAGTAAAACTGTTCCTAGTTCGCTTGTCACAATCATTTACATGGTAACTATGTCTCCGTCAGAAGTAATCGGTTGGATAGTACTTTTAACAATATGCTTTATCATTTTTTTAAACATTTGGTTTAAATACACTTGTATGAAATGTACGAGCAATGTGTGTTTAGTGGGGAAGACTGCTGTAGTCACAGGAGGAAGTTTAGGTAAGTAATTAAAAATGTGTTCTTTTATTCGCTTTTTTTTAATAGTCGTCCGCTTAAGTAAGCATATAATTATTATAATCTCTTCTTCTTTACTTTCACGGCTTAAGCTACGACCTGCTAAGTCTTCAAACTTCATGTGATCTTCCACCATTTTTTGAAACTTGTTACACTTCAGCGACTAATTGGTTTGTAGTACCCAGCTACTCTTGATGAAAACAGTATAAAACACTTTCATTTAAACTAGAAAGTTGTACAAAATTGTTTAAATGTAGTCATAGTATTATGTATTATGGCATCATATATATATATATATATATATATATATATATATATATATTTATATCATCATATATACAATTGAAAGCTCGAGTAAAAAATAGTCAACAAATAGCCCCTTTGATTGACTCCAACCCATCCAAAACAGTTATATATATATATATATATATATATATATATAATATACAATACAATAAATAATAATACAAAATATATAAACTCCGGGACCCCTTCGAATATGTGTGCTTCTGTCCCCAGATCTTGTGGTGCCGCTATTTGTATGCTGTTCGTGACCTTGATGTATTTTGTTTTGGATACGTTAACCTGCAGTCCCATTGTCTTCTCGGCTTTTTCTAACGTTTCAAAAGTCTGTATCAGGACTCTTTTTGTCCGTGTTACTATCAATGTCTGTCCGTCAATGTCCGTCAATGTCCGTGTGTACTTCTGATTGTTATGCCCGATTTCTCTATGGCTCTTTCTAGCGCAATGTTATACTATAGGCACAATAAACTCTCTCCATGGCGTAATCCACTATGTGTTTGAAAAGATTTTATACTCTGTTTTGTACCTGGACTTTTCACTCAACTATCGAAAAAGTTGTAGGATCATCTAATAACATTGAACCAATGTTATTAGATGCGACGGAATATCTAGTTCTGCCAAGCATTATAAAGCGCGCTTCTATCTACACTGTCATAAACGCTTTTAAAATCTATGAAGATTTGGTGGGTATGAATTCCATATTCATGTGTCTTTTCTAAGGTTTGTCTGAGAAGAATAATCTGATCAATTGTTGATTTCTTTTCGGAATCCAACTGTCTGGGAGTTTTCCTTTTCTCCAAATGAATGCAACAAGTTTTATTATGTATTTTTTAGCGCGTTTGCTCCATACTTGAATAGCTCAGAGGTATACCATCTTCTCCAGGGGATTTTCTCCTGTTGTTTTTTAACCTTTTGATTGCCTTGGCAACTTCTTCTTCTGTTGGTATATTATTTTTCTCCCTCTCATCGTCTACATCTTCACTGTGGTCATTTATGTCAGTCACTTCTCGGTTGCCTATATTTAATTTCTAGATAAATTCGCCCAAAATTTCTCCGCCCATCTCTCCACTATTTGATTCGGCTCATTGATAATTTCAGCTTCCTTACTTTTTATTATGGTTATTCTAGGTGTAAATTATTTTCTGTTGTGGTTTACATTTTTATAAAATTTTCGAGCTTCGCTTTGTGAATTGAGCCTTTCTAGTTCTTGTAGCTGGTTTTCTAAATTTTCTTTTGTTTTAGTATCTTTTTCGCTGCTTTCTGTTTTAAAGTTTCTCATAGGCCTGATTCTTTTTTTGAGTTGCCTGTGCGCATTCCGCATCATAAGATTCTGTCCCCTTCCTTTCTTGTTTATTCTTTCCCAAAATTGTTGCTGTTACTTCTTTCAGAATGCCGATATATATATATATATATATATATATATATATATATATATATATATATATATGTGTATATATATATATATATATATATATATATATATATATATATATATATATGTGTATATATATATAATATATATATATATATATATATAATATATATATATATATATATATATTATATATATTGTTATGATGTTTTGTTTTGTATATGAGCAATGAGTGTTTAAAATAAAATATATGAGTATAGGGTTTTTATCGCGGTTCTCAAAGAATTAGTTTGTAAGTACTTTTTTAAATAATCTTTATTATCACTATTATGAAACAGACATATATATCTAATATAAACAATTTAAATTTAAAACAACCTATCTAAATTTGAAATTCTTACAATTATTAAATTATATTAACAAAATTAGTTTTCCAAAATCAAATTTATAATCACCACTAAATATCTTCTTATATAGCCTCGGTTATCCTTGTAATCTCCATATAATATATTGTACTCCTGTATTGAAATGTCTATATTGTTGAATTAATTTACTCTCCAATTGTATCTGAGTTAATGAGTTCTTCCAAGATAATCCTTTCTTCTTATTTATTATTTATCGTATGGCATATAATAAGAACACACAATTAAAAAAATCAATATAAAAAACGTTACATGAAGTATTACAAACGAACATCTAATGTATTATTAATATAATGTAAAACATTTTCGGTCGCATTCAGGAACTCATCGAAAACTCCACGGAATCGCCTTCGGGGACATTCTTCAACAATGTGACGGACGGTCTGTCGTTGCGCACCACAGTCACACTCAGGAGTAAGGGCTTTTCCCCATCTATATAAGCTGTCAGCACATCTACCGCTGCTTGTTCTTATTCTGTTTAGCGTTGTCCATGTATTGCGGGTCAGTTCAAAGCCTGGCGGTTTCTGATCGATACAGGCCATTTGATGTGCTTCCTGTGGTGAGTCGCTCTCCCATTGTGTTCTCCAAGCTTTGGTCAGGTTGAAATGTTCCTGATGTAAGGAGTTGGCTCTTAGCAATGGAGGATATCTGGAGCGCAGTCTATTTATTTCGATATCAAGCTTATCTTGGTGTATAGGTAGTTGATGGTTAGCCTCAATTTTTCGATATTCTCTGAGAAGAAAATGACTTCTTCGCAGTTTCGGCGGTGGAATGTGACTTAGAATGGGAAGCCAATAGTTCGGTGTGGGTCTAATTGTACCTGAGATCATTCGCATTGTCTGGTTTAATTGAGTGTCAATAATCTTTGTGTGTTTGCTATTGAGCCATACCGGGGAAGCATATTCAGCCACCGAGTAAAGTCCTTTCTTCTTATTTAATTATAACTGTATTGAACTAACTTTCTTGATAAATCTAATTTAATGACTTAATTGTACCTGACTGACTGACTTCTTCTCACTTAATCCTTTTTTCTAACTTAGTTTAACTTAATCACTTCATAAATTCTTCTCACTCAATCAATTGTAACTTAATTTCTGACTTCTTCTAAATAACTCACTTAATAATTTACTGTAACTGAATAATTGACTGTAACTTAATGACTTCCTGTAACTTAATGCCTTCTTCTATCTTTACTAACTTCATGAATCAACTGTAACTTACTTAATAATCATCTGTAATTGACTTAATTATCCCCCCTTGCTTCAATTACATCCTTTTATGTATCTTTTCAGGGTTCCAGAATTATCGGGAAAGAACATATGTTCTAAACTTTTCATCTCATCCATAGATGAAAGTTCTCGAATCCTCTACTATGCAAATAGTCATATTGACGTTTTCCAGAAAATTCCTTGCTTTCTATAGATAATTTAACGGACATTTAGGCTCTTCAGATCGGAATACACTATATATACACTAAACATCTTGCATTAATATATTATCACTATTTAATATACGTAATAATATTTAAATTAAAATTCCAAATAATAAATAACCCCACTTCCCATCTAAATGTCAAAAATAAACAGTGTATATTTGGTTGCATATGCACATGGCTGACTTAAACATATCTACTATTAAATAAAATAAAAAAAACTTCTTAAACTTAATTCTTATGCTAAATTCTTAAAAATGCCCTCATATAATTATTTTTTAATAATATTAGCTAGTATATAACTTATAAATTATGTCTTTAATTACTATTTAAGTAAATTTATTAATTAAACGTCATAATATTACTATGCTAATTTCTTGTATATCTAATTATTATTTCAATATATATATATATATATACATATATATATATATATATATATATATATATATATATTATATATATATATATATTATTATAATAGTTATTATTTTTTTGCAGGTATTGGACATGAAACAGTACTATCGCTGTTGTCAAGAGGTTGTCGAGTTATAATAGCAGACCGAATAATAACCGAAGATATTAAAAAATCTATTATTCACGAAACAAAAAGCTCGAATTTTGTTCTTGAGTATGTAGACTTTGCGTCGTTCCAATCGGTTAGAGATTTTGTTGAAAAATTAAATAAAACCGAAGAAAAAATAGATATATTGATAAACAATGTTGGAATAGGAAGATGTGATGGTACATGTACTGAGGATGGTTTAAACAGGGTTATGCAAATAAATTATTACAGTCCATTTTTGCTGACACATTTACTTATCGGTAAGCATTGCAAACGATGTTATCAAAATCAAAGCAATCATTCCAGTGCTCAGTTATTTTTATATTTCATTTAATATTTAACTTTTAATAATAAAATATATCCAACGCCCCCTTATTTGTTTCACCTAGTGTATAACACACACACTAAACTTTAAACAATCGGCATCACTTACTATATATTATTATATTAGGGTGGAGCGAAAAATTTTTTTTCTTAAATTAGTCATGCCTGGCCTACAGTCAGTTGTGCATATACAAATAAAATATTTTCAGAATATTACAAAAAATATATGTCGTGTCCTTCCACCGCTCCCACCACTTTCATAATATTTTTATTTTGAGACTGATGTGGCGGTGGAAAATTGCTTTTTTTATTAAAAGTTATTGCTTTATTTATGATAATAAATATTTTCAGTGGTCAGCGGTTCCTTTTTTTCTAAATAAAAATTTTTTTCTTGAAATGTTATAAGTGATATTACGGGCCAGTATGGTTGTAGACATTTAATAAGAGGCCGGGCCTGCATCACTGAAACTTGTTGTGCCTTGCACGACAAAGACGAACTACTAGATGCTACACCAAACACCGTTAAAATACGATTCCGAACACGACCGCAAACTGCAAACCGCAGACCGCAGACCGCAGCGACAGACCTACTGGTTCATATGGTTTCTGATGAGCTGTATGTCGAGTAGAGCGGCACTGTTGCCACCGCAAGTAGAACGTCGCCACCGCAGACTGCAGGACTGCACCAGAACCAGTAGTGTCGCCGACCGCAGAGTGACAACACGTATTTTTGCTGTTTCCAAATTGACTGAAAAGTAAAAAGAATTAAATATCTTTTGAAAATAAGTTTTTCAAATGAAGAAGATGAGATTTTTGATGAGTATTGAATAACTTCCTTCAAATTGTCTATTTTTAAATAGAAACCTAGTTGGCTTCCTTTTTCTTTTATAATGCAAAAGTAAAAGATCGTCGTCATCTTCTTCTTCTATCAAAAGATATAACATTAATTCATCGTTGTTCATTGCGTCTGACACCCTACTTATACGACTTTTAATATTATACTATTATAATTTCCCATCGTGCAATGCTGTTGTCGCTGTTTTGTAGATGCTGTGCAGTTCTGCTCGGAATAGGTCTGAGCGCAGACGACACTGTCGCTGCAGTCTGCAGCCACTTTCGGAAATTAACCTTAAGGCATCGCCTAGATACAGCAAAGAGTGTTACACGTTAATCAGTTTTTTACTTACTACTTTTTATTTATTTATTTATTTAATTAACGGATATACCATTTTTATATAAATATGACGTCAACCTTTACAAAGCTTATACATAGGTTGCGTTAATAAAAAACAAACCAAAATTAAAATCAAACAAAATTCAATTAAAATGGTAGCTTAAGTTATTAAATAATGCTCAAAATCTCTCAAATGATTTCTTAAATGTTGCTGTAGATATTCCAAATAACTCTAAACTATTGCTGTGCTCATTGGCAGTTCGTAAAATTCTTGTAATGGGTTCATTTTGGCCATAATTCGTACTGTGGAATGGAATGTTGAAAATCTCAGTGATACGAGTTCTTCTAGTATTAACATTAAAACTTATTAAATTTAGTAACTCTGGATCTTGAACATATCCATTTATAATTTTAAAAAGGAAACATAAATCCGCTTGACATCGTCTATCATGTAGTGATGAGATATTTAGTATTGACAGTATATAATCATATGTGTATTGCTAACTTAACTTTAACTTAAAATGTCTAAAAATACAAGAAGTGCAATAGAGTGCCCCTTTTTGGTATACTAAGAGAGTTACAATATTCTATTTTACCCACGTTTTGTGATGTAATAAAATACTTTTTATGAATTCGATATAATTTGGAAAATAATGGTACTAGTCGAAATCTTCTTGTGTCAGAGGCTCAGAAGGTTGAAGATATTTGGAAATCTGCTTAAATTCCAATTGTACGACATCAAAGAATTGTAGCATTAACTAAAGAATACCAGAAAAAGAGAAAAGACTTAGGCTTACTTAAAAGACTTCTTACAAATCAAAATTGGATGTGTGTAAGAAAGACAGTTTGCGATTGTTTGACATTGCTGCATGTAAATGTGACAATTTTAATTCATGTTTGTGTTTAAAGCAGAACAAGGTAAGAAATAAGTTTGCTATTTAATATATATAATTGGTATTTAAACCAGTCGATACAGGAATGTATAAATTTCAATATTGTTTTAGGTTCCAATAAAAAAACGCCCATTTCTCCAAGACCAGAGGTTCTGTCGGCAAATGATGATTGGCTCTGTAGATTTTGAAGCTGTTCGGTTACAACAAAAACGGGAAATGAGAAGTAAGTGTGACAAAGAAAACAACATGTTCGATGAAGTAAAAGCTAGCACATCCTCTTATAACAGACAAGTAGATGGTTTGGAAGTAGAAATTGAACATATCGGGTATTTAACAGATCTTCAAAGATTCTCAAAATCAAAAGTTTTGCTTGGTTTGTACTTCGATAGTCAGTCGTAAAGATAACACATTGACTTTTGACGATAATAGGAAAAGAACAATAGTAGAAGAACACGCGAGTTTAATACAAGAACCTGATTCAAAATATCTGGGCCATCTATTTCCTATTTCTGGAATGGCAGCAAATATCTTATACGCATTTAATTTTTTTTAAATCTCTTCGATTTAATTAGACAGTTTAGAGGTAATTGGATGTGACGGAACAAATACCAATGTAGAAAGTGAGGGCGGAATTATTTCGTTGTTGGAAAAAATAATTGGGCGGCCCTTGCAATGGTTTATTTGCCAAATACATGCGATCGAACTTCCTTTGCGACATTTGTTACAGCATCTTGATGGTGAGACAACTGGTCCTCGACCATTTCGTGGACACATTGAAACGCTTTTACATAATTGCGAAAAGCTTCCTATTGTGGAGTTTTCTAGGATAGAATCAGAACTACCTGATATAACATATGATTTTAAGTTGAGTACCGATCAAAACTATTTACATCAAATATGTTCATCAATAATAAACGGCAGTTGCTCCAAAGCTCTTTTCAAAAGTGACCCTGGAAAACTAGTTCATTCCCGTTGGTTAACTACTGCTAACCAAATCCTTCGCTTCTATGTTATTACTGAAAATCCGACTCAGAATTTAGTTTCATTGGCAACTGTTACGATTTTAAATGTTATGGCATATAGAACTGTAAATATTTTATGACTAATTCTTTTTTTATTGATTCTCGTAATTTGTAGGTCAAAATCTACCTGAGCTTCGATACCAGTTGTTTACAGAGTAATCTAGACCCCAATTTTGATGAGTCATCCACGACTCGAGCAGTTAAAAAAAACTAGTTTTAACCGTTGGTCGCCTTCACCAAAATACGAGATCATTCCAGTATTTTCGACAAGGGTCAGGTCAGGTCTAGGCGGTCTTACGGTTCTTTATATAAGGACGAAATTTTATTGAAGGAGTCAGTCATAAGAAGATCGGGGAACGCGGTTTACTTGTAACGAAACGTAAATAAATTATTATTTGTAATGTAAATTAGGATTAATAAAGACTTTAATAAATTCGTAATTAGTTATCGTGAGTTTTAATAAATCAGAATATAGACAATAAATTAGAATAAAGACAAATAAATCAGAACTACATAAATATACCACAGTGGTGTCAGAAAAAGTGGAATTGTAGATAAATTTAATTTGAATTTGTGAAAAGAAGTGAAATTGGTGAACAATGTCTACGATTTACGAGCTCACAGTTACGAATCTAAGAAGGCATCTTGAAGACAGAGAATTAGCTTCTACCGGAAAAAAGACTGAGTTAGTCCAACGACTAAAGAAGGCTTTGGAGGAAGAAGGTTTGAATCCGGAAACTTATATATTTGAAGACAAGCATGCTGCTGTCATCTCGTCGATAGCCAAGGTTTCTGGTGACATCGCATCATTAGAGAACAAAGTTTCTTCCGATGTAGCCAAAATTTCCTGTGATATCGCATCATTAGAGAACAAAGTCACTTCTGAGATGTCTGCCCTCGATGATAGAGTGTCTTCGTTAAAGAACCAAGTTGCTGCCGATATGTTGGCCTTCGAAGAGAGAATAAAAGAGATGGAAAGGAAGATAGAGGAAACAGGGACAGCAGAGAGAAAAAACAATCCAATTATAGCAGAGACAAAAGAAGACGAGACGAAATGTAAGTTGGAAACACGGCCGAAATTTGAAGGAAGCGGAGGTTATGTTCATGTCAAAGTTCCAACTTTCGACGGAAAATCGTCATGGAACAACTACATGAAACAGTTCGAATCAGCTGCAAGAGCGAATGGATGGTCAGAAAAAGAAAAGGCTGTAAACCTGACTATAGCTCTTCGAGGAGATGCCTTAGATGTGCTCCAGACCATAGCCGTAGAGGAGACGGATGATTTCGAACAACTGAAGAAGAGGTTAAATATGCGATATGGCCACGAACACTTGGAACATGTATATCAGTCGCAGCTCAAAAATCGAAGACAAAAGAAAGATGAGGCTCTTCAAGAATATGAAGTAGATATCGCCAGATTAGTGCGATATGCTTATCCAACAGCTCCCGAAGACATGATGGAAAAGTTGGCCGTTCAAACGTTTATTGATGGTCTTCGTGATCATGAGATGCAAAGAACACTACGATTAGCTCGTCACAAGACGCTGGTTGATGTCTTATCCGCCGCCCTCGAATACGAGTCAGCTACGCAGGCCTCTGGCGGTTACAGTAAAGTTAGGACTGTAAAAGAGGAAAAAGATGAAGATAAACTTGACCAGCTCGTTAATATGATGAAAAGCATGACATACAAGAAGACGAAGACCATAAGATGCTGGAATTGTGGCGAAATAGGACACGTACGAAGTTCATGTAAGCATCCTAGGTACGATAGAAATCAAGAAACTCACCATCAGGAAAACTAGAATGGGTCGGCCTTAGGGGGGCAGCTTCGACCCAGAACTTTTCCA